ATTTCTAAAGATCTCTTAAGAACTTTCTTTCTAGAAAAGTATACATATTTAGGTATACATTTAAGCATGCAACTTTAGACCTTCATAAAGCCCACATAAAGCCCATATGCAGATCTTCTTAACTAGGGCTGCATAAAGCCCATATGCAGATCTTCTTAACTAGGGCCATGGTGAAGAATCCCTGCTGTAAATGAAGAAATCTCTTTTTACCCTGGAATGTAGTTGAAACAGTTTCTTGTCCAGGGTAAGAGGTGCCACTTCTCATTTTCATCTGATATCCTTGGCATTAAGGTAAAACAAATGCAGTCTCCATTAAATACTGTCTTAAAATGACTGAGTAATTTAATACACAATTTCATGGTATCATCTTGACTAGTGATGCTCATATTAATTGGGAGATTGGCTCCCAAATAAACATGTTTAACTAGGGAGATAGCCAGAAATCCATTGTGATGGTTCAGAATTTGCAGCCATTCTCATCTTTCATTTTTCCAGTTCCCTAGAGCTTCACATATGACTGGTTAAGACATTAGGCTTCCACTGCCACCATCACCATTCCTTCCAAATCTGTTAATAACCCACTAGCAGCAGTTATCAGAATCCCAGATATTACAAAGTAATAGAAAAAGAGAATAAGGTAGTCACAGATTAGAGAACTGTATTGTCAAATAGTGTTCGGTTCCAGGGCCACACTAAAGGGGCTGTTGCACAAGTTCAGAAGACAGCAACCAGATGGCAAAGGATATGGCCGCCACATCATAGAATGAACCATGGTCAGAGCTGGGGAGAAGTGAAGACTAAGGTAGTGTGCTAGGAGAATTGTTACCAGCCAGCTGCCTTCTTTGCCACTTTAGAGAGATTGTATGATAATTAAAGAGTTCAGAGTTAGACCTGCATTCGCTCCCAACTCTACAACTTGCTGGCCAATAGGACTTGAGGCAAGTAACTTTACCTCTGACCTCAGATTCTTGTTTATAAAATGGAAATAATAGTACCATCTATAGGATGCTTAAGATTGAATGACAAGTGTTTGAAAAGCACAGCTCAAAATCTAGCATGCCTTAAGTGCTCATTCGATAATTGTGTAGTATTAAAGATGATGATTCCTCTCAGGCTGAAATTGGAAAAATGATTTAATGTTATGAAGAGGCAGATTCTGGTTCAGCATGAGGAAGAAATGCTGTCCCTGAATATATTCAAGCAAAGACTGGACAACTGTCATATCGGTGATGCATAAATGGATTCTGCCATCTCATAATGGGTTATAGTCTAAGTTCCCTTTCCACTGTAAGAGACTTTTTTTTTATAAGGCAGACCCCCATGAAAACTATGTTTTATTAACATGGTTGTTGATGTTACAGAATTAATCCAAAGGAGACTGAGCTATGAAATATCTTAGTTTAACATAGAGATTTTTATTAGCTTCTTTAGTTATGACATTTATAAATTGAGAGAATTTGCTAAGGAGCACTGGTGTGAGTGATATTATTAGAATTAAATATGAGTCATAGAGGTTTCCAGTGTTCTGCCATTGGAAGGAAGCTAAGCAGATGTTAGGTATTAATTAGCACCTTGAGAAAATTTATTTAGATTTTAAGAATACAATAAAAAAGACCAAGTTTTTTTGTTTTTGTTTTTGTTTTTGTTTTTAATGTATCACAGATGCTATTTGAGTTCCACCTAAAACAATTTGGAATGAATCGTAATAATTATTTTTCTAAAATTTATATTCTACCTCCCTCTAAAAATAATTTGAAGCACCAGTTTATAACATTATACTAGATAGGTGAGGAAAGAAAAAAGAGCTAAAAGACTTTCCCATAGGTTCAGAGAGCCACGTAATATATCTTCATATTAGCCACTGTTGCTCAAAGGAAAATTATGCAGAGAAAGAACCTTTGTATGTAGGGACACAAAGTGGCATATTGAAAAAAGAAGAGTACATTTATTTAGAGGCAGAAAACCTTGGTTTATTTCCTTGTGTTGCTATTGGCCTGCTTCGTAACTTTACACAATTCACTTAACTTTAGAAGACTCAGTTACCTGTAAATCGGAATATAAGCTTGCCTTTTCTTCTTCAAATGGATGTTACAGTAGTTAAATGACCTAGTTGCTATGTGAGAGAACTTCGTAAACTATAAAATATTATTTAAATTTTGTTATTTGCGACTTGAAAATAACATTCTGAACCAACACAAGAATTATTTTATATTTAAGAAGGAAATCATGAGCTTGAAAACAACCAAAGATTTGAGGGGCAGGGGATGACAAGGCAGATGACATTTCCTTCAGGATCCTCTTCTTTCTCTTCTACAGCTACTTTAAAATGGTAAGAACGACACAGTCCCCATGGGGTTCCTTTACTGTAGCAAGAATTCAATATAAGAAAATCTTTAAAGAGAAAAGTAAAATATTTTCATTAGTAGTCTTTCCCAGTCTATACTTGGCATCCCAGACAATAGCTGACTTTAAGAGTATTTTTGTTCCGGATAAGTCACATTCAATTTAAAATTAAATAGGAGCTGCTTAGAAGTCTTTAAAATACTTTAGAGACAATTTTTAAAAATTTAAACACAGAAAAGTTGAAACAACAGAACAATGAAGTTTTATACCCTCACTAGAGTCACCAACTGTCAATCTTTTACCATACCTTCTCCATCTTTATTGCACGCACACACACACACACACACACACACACACACTCACACTCACTCCCTCTTTTTCCAGATCATCCAAAAGTAAGCCACAGCCATCAGAAGTATGCTTCTTTAATGGTCATTTTATCTGCTACTTTAATGATCATTTTATCTGCCGCTCAAATGTGGCAGAGCAGTACGATTGTTGTAAAGTTTATGATATAGTCAGTGCCAGCTATTAGTGCTTATTATCTGAAGTCTTGGGTACATTTTATTGGATATAAGGATTCTCAAAGTTATCTTCTTAGTAATCTCTATGTGATGACTCCTAAACGTCATAGATCTGTATGATCAGAGAAGGAATATTTGACTACTTGCTGGTGAGTTTAAGACCCTAACAACTAATGGCAATGCTATTTTTAAGAAAAAATAAAGTAGTTAAGATACTACATTTTAAAAATGCCTTTGTTTTTATATGACATACTGAAATAGTCAAATTTTACATTTTTAAGCAGTTTAGAAAAAGGAAAAACTCATTTTTTTAATGGAACATTTGTTACAACTTGAATATTTCATTGGTTAGAGGTTTATTTATTATTATGAATTGATGCTAGCTGATGGAAAATATGGCCATCATAATCACTTAGTCTAAGTATGACTATATAAAAGCTATTTCTTTTTCTGTTCCAGGAGATTTTGATGAGTTCACTCACGATAATAATGAAATTATGTTGAAAAATATAGCAGAAGATCTTCGAAATTGCTTACCTCTAGAAACCATGCTTTCTTCAGAACATCTAGCCCTCCAAAAAGTAAATACATTATATTAATTTATTCTTAATTCTACTTGAGGATTCTCCACTTCTTGCCTAACCCCACAGCCTCTCCAGTCTAATGGGTCCTGAATTCTGCTTTAAACAATTTTTATTTGGCGCTTCAACCCTGTCCCCAATTCTTTTGAGTCTCTGACCCTCTGGCTCCCCCGTACTATTCATTCAACAAATATTTTTGAGGGCATGCACTCAACTCCCACTCCACCTCCCCTCAAAAAAAAAAAAAAAAATCAAGGCCCAATGGTAATCTGGTCCTGCCTACATCATTGTCCTGATTTTCACTTCCCTGTTCTGTTTCTCTCTCTTTTATCAATGGTGAGGTTCACCTCTTTGTTTCCTTTGCTTACTTTTGCATTGTATAATTTTTGCTTATTCTTTTATTCCTTTATTTTTAGAATTAGTTCTCATATTTCTTCTCCAGACAACCCCTATTCAAGTCCCTTCAGATCCCAACTCTTATGGAATACATATACTATGAAATTGTTTCCTAAAGCCAAGCTAATAATAATCTCTTCTCCCACTAATCTGAAAACAGCAGCCCTCCTTGTGGTTTTTCAGCATGTAAATTTCTGGGCAGAGGAACTAAATCCTGTATATTTTTAACAGTGCTGTAGCACATTGTGAACACTTAGCAAATCTTAGTAAACATCCAATCATTCAGAGTAGATTCTCAAAGGAGGAAAATAGTGAAGAGCATTAAAACAGAACAAAATATCTGTCATACAATTGAGATGTTGTTAATAAAACAATTTTATCAGTATTATGATAGACCACAATACATAAAATGAGGAAAAAATACTCATTGCATGTTAATGGTCGACCCATAATCCCTTATCCTAACAAAATGTTTTTATCTTCTTTGTTTCCTTCTGGTATTTGTATATGTTCATACATTTTGTATATGTATGTAGATGTAGATATAATTGTGTAGGTTTCCAAGCAGATAGGTTGATTCTTTATTATAGTTAAGGTAAAAAAAATCAGACATTTTTTTCTTTGTAGCCACTCGCTATTATGTCATGTACCATAAAGGGCCTATTTATAAGCATGAACTTTTATTAACATTTTTATTACTTGAAAACTTTGCCTCTGGGCAAAGATTACTTGCTAAGTGTTTTGATAGGTAAGTCACTGACACATAGGACTCAGAAGACCTACTATCAGTTTAAACTCTTCCCCCTTACCACCCAAGGTAATTTCTTTGGAAAAATCTCTCTGGGTATAAGTTTCTTTATTTGTAAAATATACTGCTTAGGATGGACAAGATGATCTCAAAATACTCTTTTGTACTAAAATTTTATATGTTTCTCATAGCTATGTTTTGCATCATTACAGGTCAAATAAAAAGTTGCTAGTGTCTCAAAAAAAACTAAAGAGCAGAGTTGCTGACTTAGATAAGTGAAACTTGTCTTTCTATGCCTAGTTGTTGCAGAATTTTAGCATATGAACCACTGATGTTTTGCTTTATTTCGCAATAAAAAGAGATTTCTTTGTACTTTGTTTCTTTTGATGTTTTTCTTCTCTCCACCAGATACAGAGTCGGCCAGAACCCACAATTCACGTTGATGCATTCCTTTACGATGAAGACTTTATTGATTCATTATGTGAGGAAGGAAAAATGAGCAGAAACTACTGTATGGTGTGTGGCTCACACCAGACGGCACCTTTAGGTAGGCATTCAAGTATGCAAACCTGATGACTTTCTACTTTTCTTACATGCCATGAGTATGCAAATTATTGACCAAGTCATTCAATGTTTTCTGAAAGCAAAAGGCCAATCTACAGCATAATCATTACCAATTACTGCAGGTAGGAAGACTAAATAGAAATATTGTCTAAGGAAGCTAGGCCATTTAATGTCTCCCAGGAGGGTGTCTGTGCTTTTCACAGAAACCATTTAATCAAAGGTGATTTTTCAGGCCCAGAAACTAATCAGAAGTGACTGAGTACAGGAAAACTAACTCATCATTTCCATACTCAAAAGAGATTCGTAGATAAACCATAATGCTAATTTATTTACAAGAGAAATGTAACTGTCAAGGGGCTGAAATGTTCTGTCTATAAAACCATCTACTTGAGAAGTCAGATGTTAATCAGATATTGCTTGATGAACATGGACTCAGAGGACAGAGAGAGATAATCTTGAGAAAGAGTTTATATTCAGGCCATGATTTGACCTAGTAGAGCATCTCTGGTCCATAACAGAGAACTACTCTCATGACAGAAAGTCTTCTGCATATCTGCCTCTCAGATATAGCACTTGTGTCCCAAAAGGGAAACTAGACTGACTCCATGTTGCTAATATGTTAATTCTTCTATTAATATATTATTTGTTCAAACTAGACATAATTGTCTAGGCTGTTACTTTAGACATGCCATTGAAAGCTCCCTGCTCACTTAGATTTAGAGTTATTGCTTAGAGTTATTACTTATCCTCAAGGTAAGTAATCTTGTGCTCAGAATACTAATCTTAGATATCATTCTCAAAAGTTAACTACTACCAAACTGGTAATATGTTACTAATACAAAAGTATTGTACTTATAATTTGGGATTAAACTTCCCTGATTTACTGGTTTAAGATTCTATTTTTAGATAGTACTTATGATTTCCATTTGAGGTGGTTGAAATTCACAGAATAGAAAAGGACTTAGATGAGAACAATAGAGGGAAAAATAAAAAGTGAATTATAGTCTATGGCCATGCTACCCTGGACATGCCCAATCCTGTCTGATCTCAGAAGCTAAGCAGGGTCGGGCCTGGTTAGCACTTGGACGGGAGACCACCTAGGAAGACCAGGTGCTGTAGGCATAAAAAATAAAAAAATAAGGGATTGTAAGCTGACAAGGTCCTTGCAAGCTGTGAGGTCAACCAAGGGTTGCCTCGCCTAAAAAAAAAAAAAAGTGAATTATAACTGTAACACATATCAGATCTGATTTATAAAAATGTATAGAAGAGGTATGTTTGACAAATAAAAATTTGAAGATTAGAATGCATTTTCCTATAAAAATCAGATTGTAAATAGTGACTGGGTGCCCAGCCAGCCCAGATAACTGTAATGAGTCTGAAAAAGCTGCCACCATGTGGGACTCTCCTTTCCTGTAAGACAAGAGGCTTATCTAGCTACAAGACACTAATAATGACTCTGTAGCCCAAGCCAGAAGCACTAATGTGGCAAAGAGGGTAGTAAGGATGAAGATCCTGGGGACATAAGGACTATGGTGCTCCATGCCCACCCCTCCACAAGCATTACTTCTGAAGCCTAGTCAGACTTGTTATTTTCTTCCAAGGGATTAGCTTGCCTGCTTCCATTTTCTTTGCCACTATCTATTAGTTATGACTGATGTTTCTTTCCTTCCTGAACATTATGTCATATAGGATATAATATAGTAAGTCTTTGACTTACATCTATGTCAGAAAAAAACAGACTCAATCTCTCCAGGATATTTCATTATAGAAATAATAAAGTGAGAAAATGGGCTAGGAGGCTAGAAATTATAGCACGTAAGCTAAAGGAAATATGAACAATTTATGGAGTACCTTAACTTCCTTTCATACCACCCTGCTCCTGCACTCCAGAACACATTTTAGGTTGGTCAGGGCTGCCACATTGCACAACTCCAGAGCTGGCCATTCATTTGGTAATTTACAGTCTAATGCAGCAATACGTGGCATTTCTGTGGTTGATTATGAGGTAAGGTGAGAAAGCCAGATGGTATGGGAGTTAGAACCAATGCAAGGGAACAAGTCATAGGGAAAAGAAGGAAATGAAGGGCACGGGGATAGGGACAGGCAGCTGGGTAGCTGTTCCCTAGGGTCCTTTTAAATGTCAGAGACTTCATATTTATTTTTCTCTAATATATGTCGGAGTTAATGAGTGCAAAATTATCACATTAATTTATTCTAAATAATCTCTGAATGGCTTTTGTTGTTAAGAAAAGAAAAACTTGAGATATCCTTTGTAAATATAAGTGAAAGGTTTAGAAATACAGAATGGAATTATTGATACCCAAGCAAAATTTAATGTTCACTTTGTTCTGATTCTCCAGGATTTATTTCTCATTCCTTCTCTCTCATGGAGTTGAAGTTCATTTATCATCACGTACTCCCTGATCTATCGGGAAAGGTCTTGGTTGACGTTGGCTCCAGGCTTGGCACAGTCCTTTATGGGGTAAAGTCCAGCTTGTGGACATTTTCATCATTTGGAAAATACTTTCTTCTGCTAACAACAGTTTTGCCTGCCACCATCCAAGGTGACAGTTTGGCTTTATTTATTAGAATAACAATATTAAGGTTTAAATAGTATGTTGAATTTGGAATTTAAAAGCCAGCTCTCTGATTTCCTTTATTATCTCTGTAACACAGATGAAGGAATATCAACAAAACAGATGCAGGGAACCCTCTTTGCTCTTTTGTCAGTCAGTACTGCCCTTCAAACTCTGTACTATACTGAAATAGTGACAAATTTACTTGACCTAGGAAATTGAGCATGGCCATAAGCAAGTCACTTAACACCTCAGGGCTTCAAGTTCCTCCCCTGTGAGTAAACTAAATGATATCCAAGGATACATCTTGCTCCAATTTTCTGTGATCCAAACTTTGAATATAGACATTTGTTTCTGAAATATCACTTCAATGTGGCTTTTTTTTTTTTTTTAATTTAAATCATGAGTGTTTTTAATGTTCTTAAATAGTTTTATCAAAAAACTGAAATGTGGTTTCTGGTTGTCATTAGCAGACTTGTTGAAACATGTGGCCAACAGCAGGAGAAGCTCATGCCAGAAACAGGCACTATCAGTTCCTAGCATCATTGCCTGCTCTAAACAGAAACAGTTAACTCTTTAATGCTTCATTTATTTTTCAGTGTTAAAGACTTTTCTTCTGTAATTAGGAAAAATGGTCATAATAGAAAATATAGTTTATCAGGTGGTTTTGATTTAGAGAACATTAGAAATTATGATCATTGATCATATTCTTATCTTTTTTTTTTTTGATTTGTTAGAAGAGTATGTAACTGAAATAATTGTGGCTACACAGGTATGTGGCAGTGTTAATAAATTTAAACATATTATCCTTTTTTGTTCACTGGTCTAGTAAACGAAAAATTTTTGAATACATACATATGCTCTGTCAAATATATTCTAAAAATCCTTGATGAGCAATAAATATAATTTGGTTTATACACAGGTTTTAGTTGATGTAAAATGATGTTCAGAATATGATTTGATCTTTCCTTCCAAAATAGATACATAACAATATATAAACAATTCTTGATTATCCTTGCTAACTAATTGGTCGATTATCTTTGGCAGATTGCCTGACGCCAGGCTGACTTCCTTAAGCCAAACAGGACACACTTCCAGCTACCTTCCTCTAGTGTCAGATTATGCATGATTTTCGATTATATTCGCCACAGGTTTACTCCTTTCTTGCCTTTCTCCTATTTTAACTTCCCAAGAAATTACAGAAATAGGGTATTAAACAGAATCTATATGTGATCACTTTTCTCATTTCCACCTTTGTTGAATGCACAGTTTTATCAGGAAAAGTAAGAAATCAATCTTTTAAAACATAATTACTTTTAAATAATAGAAATTTATAAACTACAATCATTGTTAGAAAATAAATGAATAAATAACTGAGAAAAAATAAAGTACAATCAAGATTTTCATCAGTAAGAGTTTAAGTTCTTAAAGTTATAAGTTTTACATAAACTACAAGATGTTTTTTATCTTTTACTTTTTACTTTATTGAATTGTTTTTAAAAATTCGACTTTTTAAATTTCAAGTAGAATGAAACCCACAATTAAAAGTTAGTTCATTTGTATATTAATGTATTTTCATATTTTAGGGTTATCTTTACAGTTCAGCATTACAACTATATGGAGTAGAATTGAATGGAGATTTTTGCCAGTTGCAGGAAATGATCATTAAAAAATACCAGTTCACTGACAGAATAAAGGTACCCTTTTAAATATATATTTCATTATCCACTGTATAACATAATTTAGTGAAATTTCTTCTGCATTGGAGTTGGAAAATCTTTTTGAATCTATTCTTGGTTGCTGCTGTGTAGAAACAGATTGAGTTGACTTAATATATAAAACATTAATAAAAGTCAATTATTATCATTATATTCCACTCACATATTTCTCTTTCTCCCCAATTTATTAGAAAGTAGATTATTTACATACCTATTTCCTATCTAAATTACATGTTTAGAAAGTTTGAAATGATTAACTGACTATTTTTTGTGTGTTCAGGAACATGTCAGAGCTGTGCTTCAGAGGCTCCAGGCCAACTTACTTTTATTACTTAAAAAAGAAAAAATAATTTTAAAAGTCAGACCCCACAACGTTCTAAATGCTATATATTTGTAAGACCGCACATCTTTATTTGGAAAGAAATAAATGGTACAAAGTAAACTTTTTCTCCTTGTTTTAACATAAAAATTGTTTGCTCTTGAGCAAATAAATGTTTCTTCTTGTTATCTTGCCTGTAGTCTGTAAAACTTGTTGATTGCAGTCCAAGTTAAGGTTTTGAGGTATATAGCTTTTAAATAAATAGTTTTATTTGCTTTTTTTGAATGATGATATATTCCAGTGAATTTTAGATGAATAGTAGGGCAAGGTCAATTAACATATTGTATTAACATTTTATAATTTATAAACTACTTTTATAATTTTTATATGGTCCCATTTGATCTGTGATATTCTGTTTTATTTATGAGAACACTGACTACTTGATGATGGAGCCGGAATTTGATGACTCTTACAACTAGCAATATAGTTATACAGTAGTCTCCCTTATCTGCCGGAGATATGTTCCAAGACCTCCAGTACATGCCTGAAATTGTGGATTACATCAAACCCTATATATATTATGTTTTTTCCTATACATACCTATGATAAAGTTTAACTTATAAACTAGGCACAATAAGAGATTAACAACAATAACTAATAATAAAATAGAACAGTTATAATATACTATACTAAAAGTTATGTGAATGTGGTCTGTCTCTCTCTCCCTCTCTCTGGTAATTTTAATTTTTTCACTCCAGTCCTATTCCTGAATCTGTGTGCCATCCCTTACCTGCAGTAAATGGCTTGGTGTCACTCGCTTCAGGGGATCCCTTGCTAAAGTCTTCGTATAGGCTCAATGCTTTTTTTGGCGCAACATGTTGCTGCCGGTGGGCACAAGTTTCTGCTCCTGTTTTCCACCCACAAATTTAATACCTTTTCCTTTTCAACTTAGCACTTATCACGCACTGTGGCCATAACTTTTGCAGTTTAAGATATGACAGCAAAACTAGAGTGAATTTCTTTTTCATTCTTTACAATTTCATAAAAGATTCGTTCTTACCTTAGATCTTAGCAACCTCAGCATGTGTTTTTTTTCCTTTCCTTATTAAGTCTAGAACTTTCACCTTTTCATTTAAAGGAAGTGTTTTATGGCTTCTCTTTGGCATATCCAAATTGCCAGCATCGCTACTCTTGTGCTTTGGGGCCATTACTAAATCAAATAAGGGTTACTTGAACACAAGCACTGCAGTACCTCAGTAGTCTGATAACCAAGATGGCTACCAAGTGACCAATGTGTGGAGAGTGCATACAGTATAAATATGCTGGACAAAGAGATGATTCACATCCAGGCAGGATGGAGCAGGACAGTGTGAGATTTCATCATGCTACTCAGAATGGTGTGCAATTTAAAACTTATTATGAACTATTTATTTCAGAGATTTTCCATTTAATATATTCAGACCATGGTAAGTGAAACCTCAGAAAACAAAACCACGGATGGGGGCGACTACTGTAGTGGAAAAAGCTCTGAACTGGGAGTTAAAACAGTATAATTATGACTATATAAATAATTCTATCTAAAACAAATTTTCACAAGTTTATGGTTTTTATTAGATATTAATTATCTCCCATAGGTAGTAATATTAAATATACTGTTTTCTCCCATTCTAAGAAGGCTCAACTTCTCATACTGCCTCACAACATCATTGGTCCAATAGATATTTCTTCAGTGTTTGTATGATATGGTATCTTTGTTCTCTTAAATGAACTCATTCTTCTTTAGGTACTTCATGCGGACATCTGTACTCAAGGTTCACTTCTGCAAAATGCTGATGTTGTTATAATGAATAATGTCTTCGAATATTTTCTTGATGAGGCAGTACAGGCCAGGTATGTTATTTATTCAGTCAAGAAGTCTGTTGTTAAAATATATTCAGCAAAGTATGAAAAGGAATTAGTAAAGTAGAAATGTTTTCATGTTTAACTTTTTAAAAATGACCTCAACTGCAAGGAAATTATATTAAAAAGGAAATATGTTCCGTATAAAACAAAAATAAAACTGTCTGTGTAAAATATTACATATAATTTTAGGTGAATATAAAATGATACCATGACCCAAGCATTTACTTAGCAATCAGGGATGAAATAAAGTAGTTCCTAGTGGGCCTTTATACTTATTCTTTTCTGCCTCCGTTTTCTTTTCTTTGAAAAAAAAAGTCATATGCTATGCTATCACAAAGTGATGGGAATTAACTAATGCCTATAAATGAATATAAAACAATATATAAGAATATTAACCAAAATAGTGGTTAATTATCACACCTTAAAAATATTAAGAGGTAATAAATTGTAGATTCCTGGAGTTTATTCCACTATTCAAGTAATGGAAAAGTTCTCAAATCTATAATTACTTTTCTCACTTCTCTGCCACAATTTAATGCTTTGTGACCTATAGGTTCCTCTAATTAGAAAATTCTTATAGTCTATAGTCTGAGATGCCAATTTTCTGGCTATTTAGGCTTACTGACTTCTTATTTATCATAAAGTCATATGTACACTTTAGATGCTGGAAAGCTCCTTTCCATATATACGAAAGGGAATTACTCAAATGTTTGGATTAGTGCATCAGTAAGGTTTCTACCTCAGAGAAATAAGAAATAAAAATGCATATAATTACAAACCATAAACAGTTAATAGTGAGTGGAATCCTGATTGGCTAAATTTCTTTATCCTGCCACCCATTCCCCTTTTACATTTTCCCCACGACCCCCCCCCCCCCCTCCCCCCCTCCCTCCCTCTCTCTCTCTCTCTCTCTCTCTCTCTCTCTCTCTCTCTCTCTCTCTCTCTCTCTCTCTCTCTCTCTCTCTCTCTCTCTCTCTCTCTCTCTCTCACACACACACACACACACATTCTGTTAGGTTAAGGTCACTATGGAATTAACAATTTAAATAGTTTAAAAAGAAACTAGTTCAACCAAAAGCTAATCATATAACCAAAGCTCAGCCAAAATGTAAGGACAAGTGGAATGATACTACTATAGGAGTTAGTATATGGGAAAACAGAAATATATCATAATAGAAAATGTGTACTCAGGAAAGGCTCAGGCTTCAGCTATAAGTTAGATCTCATTACAGGGTAACACCCAGATTGTAGAGTAATTGTTAGTTTAAAAGGTGCCTCAATGTATTTTTTCAGTAGTGAAACAAATATAACTATTACAATGACAGCTTACCAAAAAACTGCAAGTGCTATTTTGAGAGCCACGCTTAACCATGCCAATACATTTGGCATTCGTATTAATTTGTAAAATGTGTCATTTTTAAGGAACCACATCAAAACAACAAACAGCTCTAGCCCAAACACAGTGACATTTATTATCAAACATTTCTATGTGATTTTAGATCTAGCCCGAGAAAAAGAACATTTGTATCATTTTGCCTAATGAATTCCAGAATGTACTGAACTTATTAACCATTGCTATAACTAAAATAAGTACAGATGACACTGTTGCCCATCTGCCCCACTGCAGGGGATGCATATCCCTGCTTTGCTTAGCTATTGCTCCCTTGGAGTGGGGTATACTCTCAAGACTCAGCGTAGAAATCCAGTTCATGGAACCAATTTTAACACACTTCATAAAGAATTTAAGGGACTTTGACTGCCGATCCAGCTTTGACTTCTGTATCAGTTCTAAAATTGAGTTTTGGCCTAATTCGCAATACCTTGTAGTAACCCGAATCACCATCTTGTTAAATCTCTTCAATACTGTAACTTTACAATTTTACCAATACCCCTTCAGAAGCTGAAGAATTTACCAATTTCTAGTAAGCTGCTGCAGTCCTATTTCCTGCAGGCAAACATTTTTGCCCATCTGGATTTCTAGACACCACCTGTGCTGCATTTTCTTTTGTCATCTTCATTCTTAAAGAATTTTCAGTGTCTGGTAAAACCTAACATATAAAGTTTCTAATATGTTTTAGAGCCTGGGAATATATCAGCCATAATGTAAGGAAACAAGGATCATTATTAGTGACAGTACCAAGTCTTGAAGAGTCTCTCTCAGGTCTTCAGGTACGTTAAGCTTATTTCCCAACATTTTTATTGTCAAAACTTTTCTCCTGCTTTTTTTCTAGTAGCTGTTAAATATTCCAGAAATATTCTGTCTGAATATAGTAACAGATGATAGAAAGAATAGCAAGATCTTAATGGCTTAAGAACTGCTTTGTGTTTTGTTAATTGGCCTCAGGAGATCTGAAATTGTAATTCTTGATACATATTCCTTTGTTTCTCCACCCAGTTTTTCCAACTGTGGGGTTACAGTTTTAGGTTAACAAATGCTTTTAAATGTAAGAAGCTTTGAAAACCCACATCATAACTTTTTCCCATAGGCCAAAAGAAACAGAGTTGTTCAAAGTTCCAGAATCAAATAAGTAGACTGGAAGCCCACACGCAGAGTTTGGAACCTAACACAAACCACATCTTTGTTCTAGGTCAGTTTAGAACCTAACACAAACCACATCTTTGTTCCTTAGATTCTCCACATAAAATTTAATAATAAAGTTCAACCCAATAAATGACTCTTATATAAAGGTTAGTTAGTATTTATAAAGCTCTTTGAGATACAGATGAAAGATACTGTTATATTTCTTAATAATTATCATTTTAGTAGTGCTTTCCTTATATATAAGCACTGCCAAGTTTGTTATCTATTTCTTCCTTTAAAAAAACTAAACAATTATCAATAATACCTTCTTTAAAAAAATGTCAGTCATCTAAATTACAAAAGTAATTTGTTTGCCATAAAAAGGGAAATAATCCAGAGATGCATAAAGGAGTTAGTCTTCCCAGTTGCCCCCACACACACTTAATTCTTTCCTGTGAGATTGCCACCCCATGAGTAGTATGATCCTACCATACTTTTCCATACTCATAAATACATTTCTTTTAAAATATGTGGTCTCTGTGATTGGATAAAAAAGATATATTACATATATGTAATGGAGTATTACTGGGCCCTAAAAAATGAACTCTTACCATGTATGGACATAGAGTATATTATGCTGCATGAAATAAGTCAGAGAAAGACAAATACCATATGATCTCACTTATATGTGTAATCTAAAAAACAAAAGAAATAAAGAAAGAAAACAGAAACAGACTTAGATAACAGAGAACAAACTGATAGTTGCCAGACTGGAGCAGGATTGGGGGGCTGTATGAAAAATGTGAAGGAATAAAGAAGTACAAATTAGTAGTTACAAAATAGTCACGGGGATTTAAAGTACAGCATAAGGAATATAGTCACTAATATTGTAATAACTACATAGAGTGCCAGGTGGGCACTAAACTAATCAGGGGGATCACTTTGTAAATTATTTAAATGTCTAACCACTATGCTGTACACCTGAAACTAATATAAAGTAATATTGAATGTCAACTGTAATTTAAAAATAAATAAAATTTTTAACTGTGGTCTCTGATTTATAATTTCTATATATTGAAATAATTCAGTGATTTTTTAGAGATTTATTGATTTATTGACTTTTTAATATATACGTATATTTTTTAATTTTAAAAAGTTAGACATTTATACAATCCATGAAGTGATCCTCCTGATTACTCTATCACTCATCTGGTGCTATATACAATCCTTACAATAATATTGACTATATACCCTATGCTATCCTCTGAATCCCCATGACTGTTTTCTAACTACTAATTTGTACTTCTTTATCCCTTCCTCTTTTTCACACAGCCCCCCCAAATCCCTCCTATCCAGCAGCCATCAGTTTGTTCTCTGTATCTGTGAGTCTGTTTTAGTTTGTTCGTTTCTTTTGTTCCTTAGATTCTGCATATAAGTGAATCATATGGTATTTCTCTTTCTCTGTCTGACTTATTTCACTCAGCATAATAACCTCTAGGTTCATCCATATCATTGCAAATGGTAGGATTTTATTTTTTTAATAGCTGAGTAGTATTCCATTTTATATTATGTACCATAATTTCTACATCTAGTTGTCTCTTTATGGGCACTTAGATTGCTTCCATATCTCGGCTATTGTGAAGAGTGCTGCCGTGAACATAGGGGTGCAGAGATCTTTACGAACTACAGTTTTGTTTTTCTTTGGATAAATACCCAGAAGTGCAACTGCTGGGTTAAAAGGTAGTTCTATTTTTAAGTTTTTGAGGAACCTCTAACCTATTTTCCAGAGTGGCTGTACCAATTTGCAATCCTACCAATAGTGTACGGAGGTTCCCTTTTCTCCACATCCTCGCCAACATTTGTTGTTTTTTGATTTATTGATGATAGCCAATCTGACAAGTGTGAGACAATATCTCATTGTGGTTTTAATTTGCATTTCTCTGATGATTAATGACCATGAGCATATTTTCATATGTCTATTGACCATCTGTATGTCCTCTTTGGAGAAATACCTATTCAGGTCTTCTGCACATTTTTTAATTGGATTGTTTGTTTTTGTTGTTGTCGTTGAGTTATATGAGTTCTTTATCAATTTTGGATATTAACCCCTTGTCAGATGTATCATAGGCAACTGTCTTCTCATTCAGTAGGTTGTCTTTTTGTTTTGTTGATGGTTTCCTTTGTCGTGCAAAAACTTTTTAGTTTGATGTAGTTCCATTGTTTATTTATTCTTTTGTTTCCCTTGTCCAAGGAGATATATCAGAAAAAAAAATTGCTAATAGCAATATCAGAAAGTTTACTGCCTGTGTATTCTTCTAGAAGTTTTATGGTTTGAGGTCTTACATATAAGTCTTTAATCCATTTTTAGTTTATTCTTATATATGGTTTAAGAAGGTGGTCCAATTTCATTTTTTTGAATGTATCTGTTCAGTTTTCCCAATACCATTTTGTGAAGAGACCGTCTTTACCCCATTGTATATTCTTGCCTCCTTTGTCATAGAGTAAATGGCCACGTAGGCATGGATTAATTTCTGTGCTCTCTATTCTGTTCCACTAATCTGTGCATTTGTGTTTATGCCAGTACCATGCAATTTTGATTACTATAGCTTTGTAGTATAACTCTACTATATTAGTACAGTGATACTTTTAGCTTTGTTCTTCTTTCTCAAGATTGCCATGGCTATTCAGGATCTCTTATGGTTCCTTATAAGGTTTTGGATTATTTGTTCTAGTTCTCTGAAAAATGCCATTGGTGTTTTGATAGGGATTGCATTCAATCTATAGATTGCTTTGGGTAGTATGACCATTTTAATGATGTTGATTCTTCCTACCCATGAGCATAGAATATGCTTCCATTTATTTGTATCTTCTTCATTTTCTCTTTTCAATGACTTGTCGTTTTCTGAGAAAAGGTCTTTTACTTCTTTGGTTAATTTGATTCCTAGGTGTTTTATTGTTTTTGATGTAGTTGTAAATGGAATTGTTTTCTTAATTTCTCTTTCTGAAAGTTCATCATTGGTATATAAAATGCAACCAACTTTTGAATATTAATTTTGTATCCTGTTACTTTACTGAATTCATTGATCAGTTCTAACAGTTTTTTGGTGGAATCTTTAGAGTTCTCTATAAAGAGTATCATGTCATCTCCAAATAATGACAGTTTTAATTCTTCATTTTCAAGTTAGTTGCCTTTTATTTCTCTTTCTTGTCTAATTGCTATAGCTAGGACTTTTAATACTATGTTGAATAGAAGTGGTGAAAGTGGGCATCCTTGTCTTGTCCCTGATTGTAAGTAAAACACTTTAGCTTTTCCCCATTGAGTATAATATTAGCTATAAGTTTGTCATATGTGGTCTTTATTACGTTGAGGGATATTCCTTCTAGTTCCACTTTGCTGAGAGTTTTTATCATAAATAGATGCTGGATTTTGTTGAATGCTTTTTTTTGCATCTATTGATATGATCATATGATTCTTATCTTTCAATTTGTTAATGTGGTGTATCACATTAATTGATTTGCAGATATTAAACCGAACTTGCATCCCAGGAATAAATCCAACTTGATCATGGTATATGATATTTTTTAATATATTACTGAATTCAGTTTGCTAATATTTTGTTGAGGATTTTTGCATCATTTGGAGATGTTGGCCTATAGTTTTCTTTTTCTGTACTGTCTTTGTCTGGTTTCGGAATCAGGGTAATGGTAGATTCATAATAAGAGTTAGTAAGCCTTCCTTCCTCTTGAATTTTTTGGAATAGTTTGAGAAGAATAGGTATTAATTCTTTTTTGAATATTTAGTAAAATTCACTTGTGAAGCCATCCAGTCCAGGACTTTTGTTTTTTGGAAGTTTTTGGATTACTGATTTGATTTCATTGATGATAATCGTTCGGTTCAGATTTTCTCTTTCTTCTTGACTCAGTCTTGGGAGATTGTATGTTTCTAGGGATGTATCCATTTCTTCTAGATTATCAGTTTGTTAGCATATAATTGCTCGTAGTTCCTTATAATCCTTTGTATTTCTGTGGAGTCTATAGTTACTTCTCTTTCATTTCTGATTTTATTTATTTGGGTCCTCCTTTTTTTTTTTGAATGAGTCTGGTTAGAGGTTTATCAATCTTGTTTATCCTTTCAAGGAACCATCTCTTGGTTTCATTGATCTTTTGTATTTTTCTAGACTCATTTATTTCTACTCTGATCTTTATTATTTCCTTCTTCCTACTTGGGGTTTTGTTTGCTGTTCTTTTTCTGGTTCAAGTATAAGGTCAGACTGTTTGAGATTTTTTCTTGTTTCTTAGGTAGGCCTGTATTGCTATGAATTTTCCTCTTAGCACTGCTTTTGCTATGTCCCATAGATTTTGAGTCGTGTTTTCATTTTCATTTGTTTCTAGGTATCTTTTGATTTCTTCCTTGATCTCATTAACTCATTCAATGTTTGTGTATTTTCTAGGTTTTTTCTTGTTAGTTGATTTCTACTTTCATATCACTGTGGTCGAAGAAGACACTTGATATGAGTTCAATCTTAAATTTATTGATTCTTGTTTTGTGGCCTAACATGTGGTCTATCCTTGAAAATGTTCCATGTGCACTTGAGAAGAATGTATATTCTGCTGCTTTGGGGTGAAACACTGAAAATATCAATTAACATCCATCTGGTTTAGTATGTCATTTAAGGCTGCTATATCTTTATTGATTTTCTGTCTGGAAGATCTGTCCATTAGTATTCATGGGGTGTTAAAGTCTCCTACTATGAAAATATTACTGTCAGTCTCTCCCTTTATATTGGTCAATAATTGCTTTGTGTATATGGGTGCTCCTATGTTAGGTGCATATATCTTTTCTAGGGTTATGTTCTTTTGTTATATTGATCCTTTTTTCACTATGTAAAGCCCTGCTTTGTCTCTTATTCTAGCTTTTGTTTTAAAATCGATTTTGTCTGATATAAGTATTGCTACCCTAGGTTGTTTTTCATTTCCATTTGCATGAAATATCTTTTTCCATCTCTTTACTTTCAGTCTGTATGTGTCATTTGATCTGAGGTGGATCTCTTGTAGACAACATGTGTATGAATCTTGTTTTCTTAATCATTCAGCTATCCTTTGTCTTTTGATTGGAGCATTTAACCCATTTACATTTAAAGTGATTATTGATAGGTGCATAGTTATTGCCATTTTATTATTTGTATTTATGGGTTTTTTTCTCCCTTCTTTGTACAGAAGTCCCCTTAACATTTCTTGTAATTCTGGCTTGTTGGTGATGAATTCCTTTAGTTTTTTCCTGTCTGGGAAGCTCTTTAGCTCACCTTCAATTTTAATTGATAGCCTTGCTCGGTAGAGTAGTCTCAGTTGTAGGTTCTTATTTTTCATGACTTGGAATATTTCATGCCAATCCCTTCTGGCCTGCAAAATTTCTTTGAAAAGTCAGTTGACATTCTTATGGGAGTACCCTTTTAAGTAACTGGCTGCCTTTCTCTTGTTGCTTTTAGGATTTTCTCCAACCTTTGGCATTTTACTGATGATGCGTCTTGATGTGGGTCTGTTTGGGTTCCTCTTGTTTGAACTCTTTTCACTTCCTGGACTTGTATGTCTGTTTCCTTTGCCAGGTTAGGGAAGTTTTCTGTCATCATTTCTTCAAATAGGTTCTCAATTCCTTGCTTTCTCTCTTTTTCTGGTACCCTTATGATGTAGATGTTGGTATGTTCAGTGTTGTCTCAGAGGTCTTTTAAACTTCCCTCATTTTTTTTTATTCTTTTTGCTATTCCAATTGGGTGTCTTCTGCTACCTTGTCTTCCAACTTGCTGATTCGGTCCTCCACTTCATCTAATCTACTGTTAATTCCTTCTAGTGTATTCTTCATTTCAGTTATTGTATCTTCATTTCTCACTATTCTTCTTTACGGTTTCTCTGTCCTTTTTTATACTTACTATCTATCTCTCCATTGAAGTCCTCACTGAAATCATATATTCTCCCCTGAAGTTCACTGAGCATCCTTATAACCAATGTTCTGAACTCTGTTTCTGGGAGGTTTCTTGCCTTCATTTCATTTAGTTTTTTTCTGGAATTTTTTCCTGTTGTTTCATTTGTGGCATATTTCTTTGGGTTTTTTTTGTTTGTTTGTTTGTTTTCATTCTCATTGCCTCTCTATGTTTTGTTTGTTTGTTTGTTTGTTTGTTTTATTCTCATTGCCTCTCTATGTATTAGGAAGATTTGTTATGACCCAGGCTTGGCCAGGTAGCCTCATGTAGTAGGTATCCTGTGTGGCCCAGTGGCACAGTCTTCCTGATCACCTGCGTCAGGGGTTCTGAGTGTGTTCCTAGTGTGGTTATGTGTGTTCCCCTGTCGCAGCTAAGCCTTAATTGCTGTTAGCATGTCAGTGGATGGAACTGGCTCTCGGCTGACTGGCTGTGAGGACTGGCCACACACACAAGGTATGAGCTGCTACTGGGGGCTGACCCCACGGAGTGGGATTCATCCCCGTGGTCTCCTGTACCTGTTGAGGCCACCCTTTGCATGTGCTGCTTGTGGGACTAGTCAGGTGGTGTTCTGTTGTGGTCTGACGCTAGCCTTCAGGTGTGTTGGGTCTGTGGCCCTTTGCGAGGGGCTCCTGTGTAGGCCAAGTTCAGCCTCTGCCTTTGATTGCTCGGGACTACCCAATAAAAGGTACAAAGCAATCTGTGGATGCTTGCTACCTATGCTGGATCTGCAGGCAATTGTGAAAGAGCACCCTGTGAGCCAAGGTCGGTTTTCCCAAGTACTGGGTCTCGGGAGGCTTAGCAAAAGGACCAGTGCACCTAAAGGCCTGGGACTGCCTGTCAGCTGCCTATATGACTCTGCAGCTGGAAGAGCCATTGAGTGGTATGTGAGTTGGGTGGGCGGAGACCCACGGAGTCACCTGGGTAAAGCCAACGAATTTCACCCGGCCAATGAAGAGTCAGGTTTCATGCCAGTGATGAATCTGCGGCTTCCTATAAAAGCCTCAGATTGCAGCAAAGTCAGCCACTGTTCTTCTCAGGCCCTCAGACCCCCGTGATCTGCCCAGAAGATATTGCAATTCAGGCTGGCACCAGTGGCTCGACACCAAAAGTCTCCCCTGAAATGTGTGGGCTGTGTAGGGGCTACGTGAGCTGAGGACTGCTGCCTGCCAATAAATATGCAGCCCGGGAAAGCCATGGGGTGGGGCTGGCTGCCCAGCAACAAACCTCCTAGGGCAATCTGTGGGCTGGGTGGGGTGGGGCCCCAGGGAGACACCTGGTGGAGTGGGGCGATCTCACCCGGCCAATGCGCTTCAGAATCGTCCTCACTGGGGGAGGGTTCAATACAAGCAAGATGGCACCCACCTGTAGACTGCCCTGGACGGGGGCCCGACAAAGGATTAATGGTGGCTTTCCCTCCAGCCTTTACCGGGCACCACATATCTCAGTCTTTGCCCATGTCTCTCGTGCCTCCTGATCTGCTGACCCTCCACCAGAGCCCCGAGTGAGTGTCTACGAGCGAGTGAGTCTATTTGCAGGCCCTTTAACAGGACGTCTGGGTTTTCAGGTGTTTTCCATCTCACCCAGATGACGAGAGTCCTCACTGGTTTTTACTGTCAGGTTTTATGGGACCTTCTCTTCCTAGGACTGGAACCTGGGTTGGGCAACGCCTGTGTGGGACAAGGGCCCCTTGATCCTTCAGGGGGGCTTCTATAACCACACACTCCCTCCCGCTGCTCAACCGCCAGATGCGGGTGCAGGATGAACCTGCTTCATGTCTCCACCCCCTCTACCAGATTGATGTGGCTTTTTCTTTATACCCTCAGACGTGTGTTATGATCAGCTAGACTTCAGGTGATTCTCCAAGTTGTTTGTTTTATAATTTGGATATAGTTTTAACATGATCATGGAAGGACACGAACCCAGCTTTTATCCAGTCCACCATCTTGACAGAATCTAGTGATTTTTTTTTTACCTACCAAAATAACAACTTTTACACTAAATACATAAATTTGTCTAGATAACCATCGGAAATTAATATTTATGAAAGCGTCCCTATACATAAATTCTTGAATAACTTTATTGCTGCCCTGTTCAATGAAACTTCTTTAACCAGATATATATCCATTGGTGGCTCCAGAATTTCTGTGTCATTATAACTCAGGTTTGCAATGTGAAGGGAAGGGCCTAATGAAGGTTATGAAGAGTGATTAGCCCCATTCATGTAACCCCTTAGTACCAGCACTATGTATATGTGAGCAGTTTTTCTGTGTTCTCTGTGTATTCCCATTGTTGTTTTAGTCTTTTATTGTTTAAACCAAATGATAATTATTAAAATATTTACATTAAAACAATTATTCTATTCTGTATTTTCTTTATTCTTTTAAGTTCCAAAATCAGAGAAAATTAAGTCCTTGATTCAACAGACCATGTAGTACAACAAAGAATTGTTCATGTGGCACCATGTAGCACTTAATCCTGCTTATTGTAATAAAAATGTTGTGCTTGACACTTAGTCATGATGTCTTCCAGAGAATAGGATTATTCTGCAGTTTTCATGTTTGTTTATAATCTTTTTTTCCAGATTAATATACAGTTATCTCCCTGGGTTGAAGAAATACCACTGAACTACGATGTGTATCCAGAAAAGGATATTGACAGAGAAGCTCTTGAACAAATACATTTATATAAGATTCTCTAGCACTGAAATAATCCTACCCTAGTGTAATGTTTTGTTGAGTATATTACAAAATAAGGAAAAAGAAACATAACCCCAATACCCTAACACATATTTTTTCTCTATATTCCTTTCTAGTCCTTGTACATATGTTTACATATTTATAAATAGTTGCATGTGTATATACAGCTTTGTTTGATTTGTGTGGTAATTTAATTAAAATGTTTATCTGAAAATTTGTGGTTTTCCTATGGTTTCTTTTATTCTGTTAAAAATATAGATATGTCTTTCTTTAGTCACTAACTCTGTATACCAAGTCCAGATATGACCAAAAAAAGAAGTAGTTTCTATCAAAAGAGAGGGTAGAAGGGAAGGTAAGTTACATTGTATACCAATTATTAGATCTCTATTCTGTGAGATTCCTTATACACTTTATCTGAAGAGGCTAGTACAAGAACTAAAATAAAAAATAATTATAGTTGCTAGGGAAAAGCAAAACTAGAAAGATAGGCTCCAAAATATAAATAGAGATTATATCTAGGTGGAGCAATTACTAGTGATTTATTTTCTTTTCTGTATTTTTTTTTTTCATTTTTTTATAATGGCTATTTCTTTTGAAGTCAGGAAAAGAAAAAAAGTTTTAAAGAATACAATGATATATTAAAACTTGAACACAACTAGTTCCATTAATCTCATATTTAGTGTTATATTTAAATTATTTTTTAAAATTAAACTAACCCCCATTTTTAAATTGTAGAACGTTTTGGAGACATATCTATTGAAAGGATTTATCTGATATATTTTTTGTCACTACCTGCTTATGAAAAAGAATTTACAGTAGCAGTCAATTCTTTCGAAAGAAGGTATTGGTCAGTAGCTAAACAAAATGCTAAGAATAAAAGGTTTAGAACTTTACTGTTGATATTAATAAGTTTTTATATTTAGGATCTGGTAAAATATTGAAAATCAGAATAAATACTAGAATTCTAATAATTTCTTATTTACACAGGCATTACTTAATTCCTGCTAACCCATTAAGCATTCTTACCATGGTAGTCACCCAAAAAGAAGCTCAAGCAGAGTTGGGAAGTCACTAACAACTGGCATCTCAGTAAAAATTGGTGGATGTTGCTAGGAGGCTGTGCAGATTTTCTGAGGTTTAGAAAGATTTCTAGAAAAGGAGAAAAGGCTATTTAAAAATCTTTCTAAATAGTTTATAGCTTTAGTCATGATTATTTTATACATTATTAAATGTATTCATTAATTTATTATAAAACTTATATTTAGGCACCTAAATTTCAAACACAACAAACAATACTAACTAGCAAATAGTGAGACCATTACATAAGATACACATAGTAATCATCCATGAAAAAGATGAGTTAATTAGCAGTATGGCACATAATTGCATATAACAGCTATTGAATTTCACTTAATGCCACACCTATTCTTAAGCAGCTATATTTCCTAAACTCGGAATCCCAGTTGCCCTCGTGTTTATTTGACTGTTCCTCAGAAGCATGACTCTCTAAAGAAAAATATGTGGCTCTGGCCCTTGGTGAATGCCAGAACTCTTCATCTAGAATGCCCTGGACAGGAGAGAAGAATTGATAACACTAGCAACACTCGGGACCATAATAGGAGAAATCTATTTGTAAACCTAGTTTCAAATGATTCAGCCTCTCATCTGTAAAATAAAAATAAGTATTCAGCTATCATTAGTGGAATATGGTCAAGAATTAAAAGTGATTTCCATAGATAACGTGATTAAAGTTACAGAAATAATGGGCGGTTGTTTAAATATTGTCACTTATGATTTTAGACATGTTGAACTATGGACATTTAGTTGATGGAATGGAAAAAAGTAAAGTCTAAAATATTGGAAAATATTCTATGTGATAGGAATATACTAATGTTTTTAAATAAATGCCTGAAGCAAATATTAGCACTACAGGATATTGAGGATATAACGGTATTAATATTTTATATATGGAATTATTTAACTTAATTTTTAAATGTCTTTATACTTGCCTAGAGCTAATTACTATCATTAAAAAGGCTAAGTTCTTTAGAAGAATTTTTGATGTTGGACGTTTGATACTTCACGCAATTTGTCACTCCTGAGCCTCAGCTGCCTTCTCTGCCCTCTAAAGCCTATGTATCATGCCTCAGAAGGCTCAAGAGGAAGGAAGGTAGTAGAGTATTTTCATATTTCAGCAGCCAAATAAAAAAAATACACACAAAAAAACCATTTTTCATATAGTATTACTTGTGCTCGAACAACTAAAAAACATTAAGTGTCCAAATTATTTAGCCTTTACATCATAAAATACTTAATAAATTTGATAAAAATTTGATAGAAAACAAAAACAAAGTTGCTTATTAGAACTTTAGAACTTTTTTCTGTCAATGTTATTTTAAAGTTACTTAACTTCACTGAGCTTCTCCAAGTTATTCACCTCTTCCTCTCATCCAACCTCCTGTCCCCTCTACTAAGGCAGACACCCTTGAGGGCCCACTGGAATGAACCAAGGCGGCAACTCTGGGGATGGAGGGAAAAGAAAGAAGACCAGAAGTATAAAGGAGGGCCCAGCACTTTTAGGGAGATTACATAAATCCAGAAGTGAATAGTTTAAAAGTTACATTTATGAAGAAATACAATAAAAACAATATGGCATTACAACAAATTTAATAAGTCAAAAGATAAAAGCAAGAAATCCACTGAATAGAATCTTACACTATCAGCATAAAAAATAGTTAAATACTAAATATATGGTCAAAAAAAGAATGCTAACAGGCAAATACTAGGACAATAGCTTGAAAAGGAACCTGTGAAGAGTCTCTCTCTCTCTCTCTCTCATACACACACACACACACACACACACACACACACACACACACACACACAATATTAGCGTTGAAGAGAGAAGGTTGGGTGGAGCATAAAATTCCAAACATTTTTCATGTAAATAAGTAAGAATCTAGCTGGGAAAAAGACAAGTTAAGGATTTCTTTCACTGGGGACATGTTAGCACTGTAAAAAAACTTCTGCTTTTAAGAGGAACACATTTCCCGGGTACAATATTAATGAAACAGACCTCAGAACTTGGGCTGCCGTTAACTTCCCTAGACTTGCCCAGCTGCCTTAAGCAACTCAACAGTTTCAGGCTGCAGTTTATGCACTTGTAAAATAAGTTAACATTTTTGTATCGTGAGTTTCACAGAATTATTATTTATATTGACTGAATGATAAACACCCTGAGATACACATATAGAAAAACACATAAAATAGAATACAAATTGGAATTGATTGTAGTCTCTTAAAGAAGTGTCCCAAGAAAATTGATAGATATAATAATCATAATTGTATCAAAGATCCTCATTTCCAAGAGCACTGAAATTCAAGTTTCTCTTTGCTAACAATAGTGATCATCTGGTTGTTAAATTCTCTAAAACTTCTTGATTTTCCCAAATTTTTACTTTCTTTGAGGGAGATGAAAAAGAGAAAAATATGCTCAAGATAACTCCTAGGAATAAACTGAATATGGGTTAATGAAAATGTAATCTTGTAGCCTAAGAAGAAAAAAAATGTATGAAAAATTTCAACTGAATCTAATGGCAGGAAAAGATTACATGCTATGAAATCATTTCTTAAGCAGGCTCTATTAAACCACTTCCAAACTGACCTAAAAGTGACATAAATCAGACAGACTCCTACTCCAGAAAGGTGATATATATTTGAATCCTGAGCCCTCGAAGGTTTTCATACCAAAACAAAAAAACAAAAAACAAAAAAAAACCACCTATAATTTATTGACACATATATTTATACACAATGTATTAGCTGTTGATTCTGTCAACAACCCAATGAAGTAGGAGCTATTAATCCCATTTAACAGATGAGTAAACTGAGTTTTAGTGAAGGTAAGAAACTTCTCAAAAATTTTACAGCTAGTAAATGGATTCAACCCTATTTTCTATCTGAACTCCAAAGCCTATGCTTTTTTGTTATACTGCCTCCATATTTTAAATTTCATAGCCTAATATTAACCACAAAATCAACAAATTCTAATGGAAAGAAGCCTCCTAATTTTCCCTTTGGATTCCTCATCAATATGAGACTGCTTGAGTTATTGTCAAATGTATGAGCTGCAGCTATGACTGATAAATCTGTGGGGCACTTAAGCCAGGAGGAGAAATGACAACTAGTTCAAAATTAGTTGTTTTTGAATAAAAGAGGTATAACATGTCTTTAATGTTATAATTGGTATTGCTTAATACTATGAATATACTCTCCCAGATGGAAATTAATAATATGATTCTATTTTTACATTAAAATTTACCTATATAGAAAGCAGGTTCAGTCTCTTCCCTTTTTTTTCCATTTACTAAATTGTTTATACACTGCAAAATAATAGCCAAACTTTTCAAAAGCAACTGAAGACAAAATATACCAAGATTTCAGCTTGCAGGCAGAAAGGAGACTATAAATGATTTACTTAAAACAATGACTCAGTTTTTGGACTTTAACTTTGTTTATTTTTCCTTTCCAAACATACATCATTATTTAGGTCAAACTGCAAGGTGCAAATAAGGAGAACCGTTCTTTCTGCTGGAAGATGAAGAATTTAAAGAAGCCTAGACTTTTAGAATTAGAAGGTAAGATACCTTAGTATTAACTACGCCAACTCCATTTTCTTGGAGAAAAAAAATTATATTTGGAGCTTCTTTGCAAAGAGGGAAAAAGCAACTTCCTTAAAATATATCTGCATTCTGGCAACATGGGACCCACAATTTATGTTATAAAATGAAGCTTGAAAAGTTTCTTAGGTCGTTGTTGAGAAATTGGAACCTTCCTACATTACTAGTAGGAATATAAAACAGTGCAGATGCTTTGGAAAACAGTTTGGCAGTCCCTCAAAATCTTAAACATCAAGTTGCCACATGACCTAGCAATTCCACTCCTAGATAGTACCCAAGAAAAAGGAAAACATACATCCAACATAAAAACTTGTATACAAATGTTCATAATACATTATTTACAACAGCCAAAAAGTGGGGTATAGGAAACAAATATCCATCAACTGATAAATGGATATATAAAATGGGTAAATGAAATAAAATTCAGAATAAAAAGAAATAAAGTAATGATACATTATACAATGTGGATGACTCTTGAAAACATCTAAGTGAAAGAAGCCGGTCACAAAAGATTATATGCCGTGTGATTCTATTT